AAAAAAAAAAAACAATGGTTAATAAATATTAAGCAAAAAAAAAAGAAAAAAACTGTTGTAGATGACAGAATGACAGATCAAAAGATCAACAATACCATTTTAATAATGTTTGAAAACCTTTTTTTTTCTTACTCTAAATTAATTGCATAAAACTTATCGATAAATAAAGTATATTTTGTTGATTAATTTACAAAGAAAATAAGTTTAAGAAAGTGGCAGTAGAGAAAAACTAAAAATTGTTGATTCATTTATTTTTGACCCAAGTTTTTCACTAATTTGCTGACTGCGGTATCGCTCAGATGTATCAAAGTGTCAAAAGAAATTTTCAACCTAATTAATTGGCTTTTTTTTTTTGTTTTAATTTTGTTTTAGAAGAGTGACGAAGGAAAAGTGTTATTGAGCAGTTATTCTGATGTGTAAAGATCAAACTGCAAGTATAGTTTGAAGATGTTTGATAATACTGCCGCCGCCGTTGCCACCGGCTGTTGCAGAGGTGTGAATAATAAGGTTAATAGCTGATAACTATAACAGTGGTCGCTGTTATTTAAATCACAGCTGATTTTGCTCAACCATTTAACATGATCAAATTTTTTTTTGAAGGGGGTGAGATTGGAGGAAGGAAAGAAGGGAAGGAGGGAAAGAATGTATTCATATAATTGTCATTAAATGTATCATTTTACTGTTTGTTGTGTAGAGATTTGACCAAAAATAGTTTGGATATTTAAGATTACCTCTGTTTCATCTATTCTCTATTATGATTCATTGAGGAATATTTTTTCTTCCTGCTTTTGTCTCATCAACACCCTCGTAAAACAGTTTTCGAATTCATAATACCAATAACAGAACGTTGGTTGCTAAATTGTCTTTTTAAAATGATTAACAGCTACAGACTGCAGGAACAACGATTGTTTAGCAATAAAATAACAGCAAAAAAAAAAAGAGAAGAGAAGAAAAAATTTTGGTTTTTTTGGTAAATAAAAATGAACAGATTATAATTTTTCAAAGTTCAATATTTGCTTCACTAATTACTAACTCTAAAATTGCAGAATGATTTTAAAACAGTCATTGCTGTAAAACTTCTTTTCAGTAGACTAAACCAAAAAATAAACAGCAACAGAAGCACAGTTTTAAAAGAAAACAAAAAAAAGAAAGAGGACGATAATTATGACTGTGATCGATGAGAAATTTGATACTGAAAATGAAGAAACCATAAATATTTAGATGACAAAACAGTCTTTATCTGTTGATCCATAGTTTAATAGGATAGGGCTCATTTAGTATCCTTAAAAGGAAGAACCATTGTTAAGCTTCAAAATTTGAGCATAAAAATTTTGGATACACAATACTTTTTCTTATACTTTACTGTTTTATTTCTCTTTTAAACAATTATAAATTACTTTCTTATTCCAATTAATTAATGTTGTGAATTTAATATAAAACTGAAGAACATTTACGTAAATATATTTACAAATTTACAATGGCACACAAACACAGAGATATTATTACATATGTATCGCAGTTTTGTCAGACAGCAACCAAATTCAGATGGCAATCAATCATCTTTTGAAAATTTTGTCAGCTATTCAGTGGGCTCTTTCTGTTTGTTCATTTGATGCCTATCTGTTTAATCATTTACACCTTTTTGTTTTTGCATCCCAAATTTCAATTGCAAAAATTTATTTTTAAAATTTAAATGAAATAAAATTGAGCAAAACGAAGGAACAAATTATTATTGTTCAAATTTATTTATTCATTTTTTTTTCAAATATTTTAATGATACATCAATTATGTTGTAAATTATATCAGGTTAAAAAATGTTTGTACATATCTGTCACAAAAAACAGCAAACTTTTTGTTCTGCGATTAGTTCACCATTATTTTAACAACAAAATGTTGTTATAAATAGCTTTTTTCTTTGGCTTCTATAAAAAAAAAATTAAAGTTTATCATCTATTGTTTGAAGAAAAAAAATTTTTTTTTCAACATTTTTTTTCCCGAACACCAAACAACTAGAACTGTACTGCTGTGGAAAGCGGATTTAGAATGTACTCTACCTTCTTGCGGTCCTTACCTTCTTCTAAACCTTCAGCTCTGTATTCACGAGTGTTTTTGCTCATTCTTGAGCAAAGATCATCATCATCGGCATCAGCAGCATCAGCAGCATCAACAACAGCGACAGCAGCATCATCGTCGTCATCAGCCCATCAAAATGGTTGCTAACCGATAAAATCAGCAAGTCATCAGAAGGCTTCAACAGCGTTTCAAGTTTTTCCTTTTTTGTCGCATATTTTATAAAAAAAAAGCCTTAAAAAAAACCGAAGAGGGGGAGGGAGGCGAAGAGATAGGGGAGGGAGAGAAGAACTAGAAGATTAAAATTAAAAATTTAGGTTTTTTTTCTTTTTGTTCTTTTTGAAATTAATTACTTTTCTCTATTTTTTTCTTGTTTGATTTCTAAACAGAAATATCAAAAAAAAAAACATTGTTGCTGACCATTACAAACTGAAGCAAGAATTAAAGGAAGAGGACAAGAAGCAAAACAAAGCAAAACGAAAGAATTACGAAGTGTAAAACTACTGTACAGATGTTGGCCGCTTTATTTTGCTTCTGAAACAGCGTCATCATATCAGTTTGTTTATAGCATCAGTTGCTAAAAGTGACGCTTTTATTGATGACATAATACTTGGCAAAGTTTAGGTGTCCGACACAATAAAATTCTGTTGGCTTGGCCAAAATTTGGATTATCTGTGCAAAAAAAAAGAAAAAAAATTTTTTTAAAATGAATAATTGAAAAGAAAATTCAACATTAGTAACAGTAAAATAATGAATCTTTTTTGGTTTTGTTTTACAAATGCTCATTCTGCATCAAACAGCGATGAAAAGAATAGAGTCACATTGGAAAACAAATATCAGTAAATGTTACAGAAAAGACTGACTTCTTCGGAAACTATCAATGTTTACGGTTGATTTTTTTTGATGCTTTAACTGTTGTTATTTCTCACAACTACTCGCAACAGAAATGACCAGTATTTTGGTTGACGTTGTATAGACCGAGTCTTAATAATTGCTTAAAAGTACTAGATAATGCTTAGCGGCTAAGGGCAATACGGATACAGATGTACTGAGATTTGTTGTTGACAGTTGTCCGTAACCCCGATGACGGATCTTTGTAAATGTGAGCCCACAGTTTGAAGTCAGTGTTTAGCAGAATGTGGAAAGCTTTCATGGGGGATTTGTCAAGGAAAAAGAAGAAAAAAAAAAGAAAAGTAGAAAAAAGTGCTAATAATAAACAAGAAGAAAATTTTTATCAACAAAATTTTTTTTTCACTGAATCAATAACAAAAAAAAAAGTGCTTTAAAAAATTTTTTTTTCATTTTTTTACTGCAAACTAAAAAAAACGAATAGTTGTCTTTTTTTTTTCTTCATCTTTAACGTTTCAAAAATTTTACCATATTATCACAAATTTTATCTCAAATCTATTTGCCGTGATTCTTCCTTCTCTTTTTTTTTTTCTTTACCCCGTTCCCTTGCTGTTCTTCCCGTTACTCTTCTTTTTTTTTTTCGGCTTTGACAACTATCCACAGTTTAGGCTAATCTATCAGTTTTGTCGTAGTTGCAGTCATTTAATCTGTCTTCGTCTTCTTCTTCTCCTTCTTCTTCTTTTTTCACTTCTAAAAGAAAAGGGATATCTCTTCAACAAAAACCTATCAAAATGCGTCATTCATAGGAAAAAAAAAATTGTTGTTTTTAATATGTTAGTTGTTTGATTGTTAATGACAATTCTGAAGCTGAAAAAAAAAATTTTTTTTTTTGTAAGTTCGTTTTTCTTTTCTCCTCCTTATTTAACCCTTTCCCAAATAGTATTCACACACATTTTTTTATTTCTTCTTTTCATCAGTCATCATTTTCGTTTTGCTTAGTTAACTTTCAAAATACATCATATCATCAGCAGAACAATGTGTTTTACACTCGGTTTTTTTTTTTTTTGCCTTAATACTTCATTTTATTTTAGTT